CTATTGTACTAACTCTATTCCTCTCTCTCTCCATCTTTTTATTTAATTACTATTTATATCTTACTTTTCACCTATCTACTGAGGTATTGACTTTTAGAAGGAATTTATTAAAAGTTATTTTTTAACTATTTCCCTTTGGGTTGCTTTGCAATTACAGGGAACCTTTAGGATTTATCTATCTTTGGTCTCTCTGTTTTTTGTTTTTCTCCTTTCTTTATTGAATTAATTTATAGGGGTTATCCCCCAGTTCTTATAAGCAACCTGACATTTTACTCCTGTTCCTATCTCTGGTTTCAATTTAAAGTTCCAGTTATGTTCTGTTTTATATTGGTCTTTATGTGTAGTATATGGCATCCCATTTACATTAGTGGAAGCAGATAATATCTATATCAGTGTTGAGACCTCCAGGTTCCAGGGTGCCCAATTGATGGATCCAGAAGGTCTCCTGCTGTGCTAACCTTTCATCACTATTGCCACCCCTCCAGTGGGGTTTAATATGTTCGATACCAAAACACTTAAAGGACCACTATAGGCACCCAGACCACTTCAGCTTAATGAAGTGGTCTGGGTGCAGGTCCAGCTAGGGTTAACCCTTTTATCTATAAACATAGCAGTTTCAGAGAAACTGCTATGTTTATAATAGGGTTAATCCAGCCTCTAGTGGCTGTCTCATTGACAGCCGCTAGAGGCGCTTGCGTGCTTCTCACTGTGAAGAAGACGCCAGCGTCCATAGGAAAGCATTGAGAATTCAGCTGAGGAGGAGGAGGAGAGCTCCCCGCCTGGCGCTGGAGAAAGAGCTAAGTTTAACCCCTTCGTCCCCCTAGAGCCTGGCGGGAGGGGGTCCCTGAGGGTGGGGGCACCCTCAGGGCACTATAGTGCCAGGAAAACGAGTATGTTTTCCTGGGTGCAGAACGAGTATGTTTTCCTGGCACTGTAGTGGTCCTTTAAGGGTCTGCCAGCTGAACAAGGGACAGTTGTTACAATGGATCGGAACTGTATGTTTAGTGTCTTTCCTGCGTATGTTGTTTTGGTGTTCCAAAAACCCAATTTTCAATTCCCTCTTGGTTTATCCCACATACTATTTGCCACACGGACACTGAAGTGTATATATAACACATGGTCTGTGTGGCATCCAATATGGTCCCTGAGCCGATACCTTTTGCCAGTTGATGTACTAACAAAATCTTTTTTGATTCCCATTTTACTTCCTATTGTTTTACAAGATTTACAACTTAAACATACTTTAAAACCTGCCGGCTGAGATGTTTCTCTTTGGCTATTGCATATTTTTATACTATAGCTGGGTGCTAGAGTATTTTAAAGATTTATTGGTTTGTTTGGTTTTTTTTTTAAATTATGGGTGGGCAGTCTGGAAGTAAAGGCCCTAATAAATCGCCTTCTCGTAAGATGGACCAATGTTTTGATGCCCTTTTGATCTGAAAGTGCTCGGTATTATATCTGGTGATAAAAGCGTGATCATATTTTGTGACTTTTTCTCTATTTGTATAATTCTTTTCCCTTGGTTTGTCCTCCAGTAGGTGACTCCTATTTGTTCTTGAAATAGTACTTTTCAATTCCTTTCCTAGGTGATGCAACTCTCACCACCCTCAGTCATTCGCACCAAACTGAGGGTGATGGGAGTTGCACAGGAAGAAAATCTGTATGTAACAAACCTCCTGTGATTCTCGTTTTCTGAACACATGGCATCTGTCTGCTGTGCCAATGGGGACACATTGCCCAGTACCCAGCCACCATCAGCAGCCAGCCTCCTCAAACTCTGAACTGCTGTCCCTATTTCTTTTAGCCATTTTCCTGTTAAAAGAATGTCTGACCAAATATTTGTATCTACGAATCAGGTGAAGATAGGGCAGATGAGACTGATGTGGACATTTTATACTAAAATACTCAGCAGGCTGAATAAGAGTGATGTGCTGGAGGAGAAGGGGACTGATGTATTTGAAAAGAGGTTATAGTATGAGAGAAGTGTATAAAAATGGAAAACGCAGAGAGAAGGGAAATCTATAAAAGGAGAACCATCAAAGAGAAATGAATGGGGGAGGAGTGAAATAGAGGTACAGATGTGCCTTTTTTTCACATTGCCTCAATATTAATACATAGTCAAAAAGTAAAAAAACAGTAAGTCCAGCAATCACTGGGAAGAAGTGCAATGCCCTTTATTCTCATTGTGGCTGTTAAAGGTAGAAGGATCTTCGTGAAAATACGAGGAGCTAAAGATAGGCCGAATGGAAGTGCCCTGAACTGGAAATGGAGAAGTTTTTGTTTGCCTGATTTTATTGCAAACCTGAGAAACCGTCTTGAGCTTGTGGCCATAGGCACATGAAGATAGGCGTCCTTGAGATCTATTTTCGCCATGTAAATCTCTCTTTTAACAAATATGTGTGACTGAAAGGATATTTTCCATGCGGAATTGTTGGTACAGAATGCGGGAGTACTTTAACTGTTGGGCTTTCGCAGAAGCCAACTGAGATACAGTTCGTGAAAATAATATGCAATTTGAACAGTACAAACCGAACGGTACAACACATGCCCAATCCTGAACCTTTTGTGGCTTGCCTCCCATCGAGGGTATTTTTAATTTATTGATTTATGGAGCAGGCTTGTCAGTGACCTTTGGAGCCCTTTTCAACCAGCCCAAGGGCTTTTCTGTTTGGAGTTGACTGTTTTTAAATCTAGAATAGGACGAAAACTTTTGTCTCTGTTTTTGACGAGAAACAGACGAGAGTATACACCTTGGAACTCTTGGTGCTTTGGTACTTTTTCTATGACTCCTTTTGTTTAGGAGGGTCAGTGAGGCAGTGGGAACGGCTTCTGACTTTTTTTTTTTTTTTTTAATTGTATGTTGACACCAGAAATGTTGGAGAAGGGATGCTTGTAAACTTTATTCTGTAACCTTCTATAGTATGCCATATCCAACTGTTGGATTCCCCATTCTAGATCTATTTCCCAATGTCCTAATAAGTAGAAATTCACCCCTATTGAGTAAGTCATGACCCACCAGGTTTGCGTTGGCACGTAACTTTTAAGGCTTGGCTAGTAGCGTAGAACTTGCACATTGTGTTTCATTCAGCATTCTCCATTTCCAAACCAGCTTAATCCTCTTTACCTGTGTGTTAATTCCACACCCTGTTTCATCTGTTAGCTGTATCCAGCTGCCCACCCCTATCTCATCCAGAGATCTACAGCTGTGCTCATGTCAGTGATACAGTTTTAATGTAATGTGTTTTAATGTCTCCTGTGATGACAGCTGTTCCCATGCCACCTCTCTCCCCGCCTTTGCTGGATTTTTCCTTTTCATATTTGGCCTGCATCCTCTCCTTGATTCTTCCCACACAATGTTATTGCTTTTTCCACCTTCCATTAGCTCCAGTGACTTAATGAAAGTTATAGGTGTGTTTTACTTGAGTACACCTGTTTTCAACCCCCACCCCTCTATCTCAGATCAGACCGGTGTTCTTGCTGAATGCTGTGCAATGCGTTCACAGAGGGGATCCCTTCAGAAGCTTCTCAATGAAGCATCTATTTGGTTGTTTCCCTCTGCAGAGAGTCTTTTCTGAGGAAAAAGGGGGGGGGGGGCGGGGGCGGGGGGAGGCTTTGCAAAGGCTGCAGTTCATTATTATTATTGGTATTTATCTAGCGCCAACTAATTCCGCAGCGCTTTACAATAGTATGAAATGGGGGAGGGGGACATTTCCAATAAATGAGACATTTACACAGGAACAATAGGTAGACGAGGGCCCTGCTCATACGAATATATATACCCTATGAATACATGCATTGTGGGTATATCTACTAAATGATTTTTTTATGGATTTTAACTGTGGAGTGGCCTTTTATGTTTATTTGTAATAAATATACCAGTGCATACAAAAATACACAAATTTACACCAAGCAGTTAAATAAAAAGGAGAAAGTTAACTGAAAATCCTAGTTACTCACTACTACACTAAATGTATCTTCCGAGGGTTTGACAGAGAGGGACCTCCACTTTATCTCATGCATAGTAACAGTCTTGTACTGCTGCTGAATATCACAAAGCTTACAGTGATTGCCCCACTTTGTGGCATGGCACTGGGGAATCCTCTGTATCAGTCGCTCATTGTAAATCAAACCAGGAGTACCACAGCTTCCAGCCACCCTTTAGTGAATATCCTGGGAGTGATTTTTGGCAGTCCCAGAATATTGGTTCTCTTGGTCCTGCTACAGGATTGCATTACTGTGACTGAATCGGTGGCCTTCACACTCTAGCAGTAGGGCTATAAAGGTATGCCTATGCTGGCTGTGACTGTAGACCACGTGTCCACCTTTAGGTCATTCAATAAACTTATCTGACGAGGAAAAGCAGGTAAATAATTGCCATACATCCAAGTGATCCAAACTCTGGCTTAGTAATATGCACTTGTTTTTCAATTAATCCATTTATTTATTCCAAAATGTGAAGCCTTGGGTGCCTCAACATATTGCATAGAGTGCCTAGCTAAATCACCATGAAGCATAGTATCTGATTTCATACTTTGCCCACTAGATACAGTTAATGGAACTGTACCAGTCAGTATTCGATTTCATTGTAGGTTAGATGTGTAATGCAGATAATGGATCAGGAGTTTTTGCATTGATATAACCCCTGCTGCTGGATACTCTTATCTGTGGGATGTAAAAAGATAAGAGGACAGTAATCTAGATAAGTCAGAGTAAGTCAGAGCTCATAGTGACTTTATTGTATGTTACTTGAGTTTAAATAGGACATTTTATCAAGATTGTATAGAGAACGTGAACTCTATGGCACATGTAATGCCTGCGCAGACTGTATATCACATACTGAGCACGGCTGTTTATTGCATCGCCACCTAATCTACCACTCACAGGAGAAATGTCTAACGTGGTGTAGCAAGAGCCAGGACTAAATGACAGGCATGGGTTCAAGATGGCATGACGTGTAGTTAATCATCTGCATTTAGAACGTGTGGAAATAAAACAGAAGATTCAGGTTTAGAATAAAATATTTATTAAAAAAATATAGCTGACATTTAACAATATAAATAAACTGCCCTTTTGTTTTTCTTGTAACAGAGGTTATCATTTATAGTTCTGTGTAAGCTAACCCCAAACTTACATTCATACTTTCTTTTTGACTAAATCAGATTAGTAGAACATTTACAAGGAAATGAACTAACTCAACTATTTTGACCTAAAATATGAAATTGTCCTGTCAGTTTCTACAATTATGGTAACTGTTGATGACCACTCGAGTTCCAAATTAACTCCAGAATATTTTATGGCAATCTGCACATTTCACATGTAATTGCAATTTTAGTATTTACTAAACTCAAATGAGTAGTTTCAGAGAAATGATATCATTCCACCCAATGAGGGATGGTTCAAATGTCAAACAAGGTTAGGATATTTCTCCAGTTCAGCTTGATAATGACCTTAAATAGCGATTGACGGTCTCGTCAATAAACCCTGGATATCCACACACAATCAATGTAACGGTATTCCAACCAAATCTGAACTCTACCCAACGATTGCAGAGAATTGAGTCCACCAAGACAGTTTTCTTGTTCCACTCCAACCTTCTAAGACAGAGCTGCCTGGAGCAAGACGGGCCACCCTCGGCCACCAGTTGATGCTTTTATACATCCAGACGTCTCTTTATTTGCACAAGACCTGGTACGACGCAACAATGTTTCATGCAGGTTTAGCCCTTTCCTGTCCCATATCACAGGATATAGAGTCCTTTTCTTCTTAGCTACTGGAGGAAGTTAATTCTCTGTGCCACTAGTTTGCAGCCGTGGGCAGAAAACAGCTTCTCCTCCTTTGGAACAAATAGCAAGCCTTTAGTGAGCACATCTAGAGCAGTCTCTGTGTATGGCAACCCTCGTGCAACAAAGGAATCCCTGGCACACAGCTTCACGTGAGCTCGCTCCAGCGGCAGAAAAGGGACAAACACATCAACGAGATCCTCAGTCATGAGATGCCAGAGCAGAACACTGTCTCCTAGAAAAAAGAGCTAAGGATTACTGACAGAAAACCACAACCTGGTAATGATATTGGATCATCAAGACTTTCTATAAAGATCATACAAGTTACATTGAAAGTAAATAATTAAATATAAAAAAAAGGCTGTTAAAATATTGAGCTACATGTTTTGGCTTTTAGTAGACCTCATACTGGACATAAACCTAAATTGTTAGGATACATGAATATGTAATCATTAATGTAAAATGCTTAAACAGAAGTGGTCAGTTGCATTTCTAGAATGGTACGGATGGGGTAGTTTAGTGCCATTAAGGTTAAACGTAAAAGGGTTATTCACTAAAAGCTGCAGTTTTGATAAATCTGGGGATCTACCTTTTGGACTCCCCCTTTAAAGCATTATTGTTTTTAAGGTCTAGTCTCCCTTTAGAATATAAAAAAAATACTCAAATACTCATTACTTTGGATGTGAAAGATTAACAAATTTATGTACATGTGTTTATTCACTCATTGCAAGGGATTTACTCACTAAATATCAAACTAGAATGAGCCAAACAGCAAAACCGAAAATGTGGGCAAGTGGAGATTTTTACTCCCCAACTTGGCTATTTTGGCTTATTATACATACATTTATATATTATTTTTTTCAGTTCACTGCAACATAGTTTACTGTATAAACCTCAAAACAATGGATTCCAAACGTAGGTCAAAATAATCCAGGAGTAATCAATAGATAAAATGTCTTCAACTCTGTAACCACATCTTTAGTTAATTAAGCTTACAGCAGTACAACATAACTACACCGATGTTCCGCTCCACTATATTCCATAATATGAAGAAAATAAGTTCTAAACTAGTGAAAAGGGAGAGTAATAATTCATAACTACAAGAGGCCATTTGTATACTCAGGTATGTCCAACAACATGAGGAGTCCTACAATCTTGCCAATTCAGAAAATGAAACCTCAAACAGATATTAGTTTGAGAATTTCGTACCTTGGTCCCTTATGGAGGCTTTCAAAGGACGGTCCAGGTCATCTGCTGTAATCTCCTCCCGATGGCGTCCTGCACGCCAGAAAGTGAGGGCCACCTCGTTAATTGCAGTACTGCCCAAACCACTGAATATGGAAAAATGGGAAAAAGTGAGTATTTAAATAGAGGCGGTAAAACATGGGGATAGAGTTAATGACATGTACACAAAATTGGTTGTTTACAATAATTTGAGATTGAAGAATTCAATATCTTTCTGATGTTTATATGTGGACAATTATGTGTAAATCCATGAGCATAAGAGAACTTCTACCCATTGCTATAGAAAAGTAAATAAAAAATCTAGTCTCACCTGAGGAATATGAAAATGCTGGGGGTTTGCTGTGTCTCTGACTGAGTAATGTATGGAATGATCGAAGTCAAGAGCGCAACAGGGATCTTATCTGCATCATCAAAGATGAACAGGGGCTGCGAGCAACGCAAGGATATGTCTCGGAGCTGTTTCTCCAACTGAACCTGCAAAACACACAAAGAATTATATAGTAAATCAAATGATATGCATATACACACTTTATTTATTTTTTACACTTTCCAAAGTCTGAGTTTAGAATGCATCAAATTATTTAAAAAAATTAAATACAAAAAGAAGACAATTACATTTGAATTGGACGTGTTTGTAGTGTGCAATTCCCTCCATAAAGAAATGCAGAAATATTTGAGAAAATCACTGAGACCTTGGGCATTAATGCTTAATTCTGAATTTGAAAATGGTTTTGTAAATTTTAAAATGAAAGCTATGCAATGTATGTTTACTTTGTGCTAATGCTAATGTTATTCTAAATCAGTAAAAACAAACACTTCTTTATCTAACATTAAAACGTACCATGCACAATGCTATTTTGATTATTGTTACTCACAATATGTTCTTTACTGTAGTGATAATTCCAATGGGGCTGATTAACATTTCACACTGAAACAGCATGGGGACCAACATTTGGGTCGCAACCTAGGGGTGAGAGCTACTAATCTAAATCAATGCACCGATCGCTTCTCTAGCATTAAAGAATGGTGTTAAATGGGATCAGTCACAGAGAATGGTGACAAATTGTATATCTATTATTTAAATGGTTTTATTTCATAAGACACTAGCTTATATAAAAACCCAACCACAGCATTTTGTTTAAGAGAAATTAAACATATGTAACTGTACTCAGAACCAGTATCTTAATATTATTTTCTATTTTGCATTGTTGTAATCTGCAGCGGTTATCTTATAGTATAGCATAGGACATTTGTGCTGTATTAAGGTGACAGGTGGCCCTTTTAAAGTGGAGGGGGAGTGATTAAAATATGTGCTCTGTAATTTTATGTTTTTGAATGTGGCACTGTAGCATTGATTTTTCAAGAGCCACATGCACCCCATAATACTGTCACAGTGTCTGAGCCATTCAGTACATCCTTTTCTCCAGAATCTTACTAAGAACTCAAAGAACCTTTGGATAAGCTTTTCAGATGATCACAATCTGTGAGAAAACCTTTCAAACTTTATCTACAGAAGTAACCATGAAAGTGTATGGGAATGTTTGTAGATAACTTGTTTGAAAATCCTATCCGAAAGAATTCAATCAAAGCCTAAGTTATCATATCATTATCATCTCCAATTTGTCTCTGAAGCTTATTTTGGAATGTACGTAGTTTTAAAACATATACGTGACATCCAGAAAGAATGCAAACAGCCGCCATCCTTACCTTGTAGACCTCCAAGTGTGAGGCATGGGGGAAGTGCAACTGTGGAAAAAATATTCTGATACAGCGGTTCCGCTGTCCATCTTCATACAGGTTCTCTGCTATGATCCGGGCCACCAGATTTTTACCCGTTCCAGTCCAGCCATGGAAAGAGAGGATTAGTGGCTTTTTGGGTTCACTGTCCTCAAGGAAATCTTGAAAGGAGGTTACTATCAGATCCTTGGCCAGGTGTTGCCCATGTACACGTCTGCTTAGGTCCCATTGCAAACCTAAAAATAAACAAAACTAAGAATAAAGTCAACAGGCAATGGATTACTCCAATATTTGATTTGGACAGTAATCACGATAACCTTGAGTAGCCCAGCAGTTGACCTGGCAATAATTATATACTTTACATTTGGTAACACAGGTTGCCCGCTACTAACCCCTGGTAGTACAACCGTTATATAACAATGGTGTAATGATTACATTCTCTCTCATTATGGACATCCTATGGAATTTAATTTTTTTTTTTTTTTTTTTTTTAAGGGAAGGAAATAAAGGTCAAAATTAGTGTTGTGATTGACTCACTTTTTGGATTGAATTACTTTTATACATCTCCCACATTTTCTAGGTAGCAGAGGGTCTTAACTGAGCTTATGCTTTTTTTTTGGGGGGGGGGGTTTCACCCCAAAAAATACAAATAAAAAAGTTGCGAACAGGTAGCATAATGCAGACCAGCATATAGGGATACTTTGCATTCCCTTTGACATAGTGCACAAAAATAACTTGATTTATGTTTAAAAAAAAAAAAAAAACACGTTTTACTTGATAGACTCCCTTGATGGAAAAAAAAAATTAATAATTACAAAACAATTCTTAAATAACCTCATCCATAAAGTCTCAACTTTAACGAATAAACATGTTTTTTATTTGTATTTATTAGATACTTTAATTACAATAAATTTTGCCCCATATTTATATGGTCAATGATCTCAACCGATGTTGGTGGTCTCTACCTCCTAGAATTCATTGAAGGCAATAGATGTCCAGAGAATTATGGGAGTTGTAGTTTAGCATCATCTGGGCACTCGAGTTTGATATAATAATAATAATAATAATAATAATAATAATAATAATAGTTACGATTAATGATTGATTAGTGAAAAATTAACTAGCAACACTTTTTTTTTTAGACCCGAGGTGGTAATTTTCTTTTGCACTTACTGTTAGGACTATTCACCGCACTGGGAATTGGAGAGAATTGAGATGAAATTACAAGTTGTAGATAAAAAAAAAAATAATAATAATAAAAAATAAAAAACATTAGCTGAATTGGACATTTTTCTATAAAACTCCCAGTTTAATGAATTATAAACACGTGTCAGAAAAACACATTTTGATGGCAAGAAACAGCATAGGATTTATTACAAAAATCTTAAGGAAGATAAAAAAAGTTGCAAATATCTGACAGATGTAGATATATGCATTGACATTTTACTCCAAGCACCATTACCAATTCAGTGTTTTGAAGTGGTGATGGTGCTAGGTATGTTCAGCGTTTCAAGCATTTTAGGAGGCTCTGAGTCCAGTTGGACTTAGGTATGTGGCAAACCAATGCAAAATGTTTTAGCCCCTTACTGAGGAATAACACCAAGGTATTCCTGGGCTGGCACCATAACCACTACAGCGTTCAACTTGCATTTAGCTGTAATATTTTTTTGGCCCATTTTACAGGACTGCATATATGCTGGAGTTGCATACTGTAAGTTCTAAACCAGTCCCTTTGTATAACAGAATTAACCTGACCTGTTAGGTTATTGGAAATCCTTCCATAGGCATAGTCCCCGCTTTCAGATACTCGTGAATACCAGTCTGATAAAAACCGCAGGGATTCCCAGCTAACAGTAGGCCAGCCCCAATCTGTAAAAATAGAAGAGAAACAAACATTCGTATTAGGTTTACATTTAAGAATGAAAAAAATAAATAAAACACAATACATAAAAAGCCCAGAGGCCAGATTCTCTTATGTAATAGGAATTAGAGTTTACTCTGCTTACTGAATAGCAATTCCTCCATTGAAGTCTATGAGAAAATTGGTATTCAATAAGCAGTGTGAGTCCTTACTCTGCTAAGAGAATCCACCTTCTAGTCTTCTTCATTGGTACGTTTTATTGTATACTTTATAAAGACATATTAAAGTTAGTCATCAACAGATGGAGTAGAAGATACGTCCATCTTCAGGTATGTATTCATCTATCTAGTCTAGGGGTCAGCAACCTTAGGTACTCTAGGTGTTGTGGACTATGTCGCCCATAGTACTCTTACAAGAGCATTTATTGAGATGTAGTCCACAGCATACGGAGGGACGAAGGTTGCCTACCCCTGAGCTAATCTATACATTCTGCTGGCAAAATCAACATTCAACACTAGCCTAAAGAGCACTTCCTCCACACAGAGCTCCATGTCTTAGAGTGGATCCACCTGCAAGTGATGAGACTAGAATTCTACACGTCTGAGTGGGATGCCAGCAGTTTGGCAGCCGTAAAGCAGTTATTCCTCGTTCCCTTGAATGTACTCCTTACCACTAACCCAATGACATAGCAAGAGAGCAGGATTAACCATAAGGAGTGCCTAGACAGAGGTCCCGGTATCAGTACAATGTACAGAATAAATGTTCTACACTCTGCTATCTTCACGACAAAGTAACACTATAGGCAATGCACCTCATTGAAGTGGCCTGGATGCAGTGTACCTGCCCCCCCTTAATCCTGTTTTAGAGAAACTGCAATCTTTACATTGTAGGGTTAAGACTGCTTCTAGTGGCTGTCTATCAGCTTCCTGAAGTTTCACAGTTCGACTCAGTGAAATGACTCTGGACATCCTCACACTTTGCATGAGGACTTTCGACATCTTCAAATCCCCTCCGTTTGAAAGCATTACATTGTTAAATTCTCATGGGGAAGGACTAATGCACGTGGGGTGCACGCCACTCATTTGCATTAGGTTCCCCCTCGGCGCTGGAATAAGGGGAGTGTTTTTAACGGTTTTAATGGTTTTTAACTATTACTCCCCTCAGAAGAACTTGGAAATCTCTCATTACTGAACGTACTGTATTTTGTTACATGCAGATCTAAATTATGATCTGCTGAACTTTTAATAAAAAAAAATACATTGGGAGAAAAAAAAAAAAATGAATAACTGAAATCGAAGAGAGTTGTAGAGAGGTCTGTCTAGCTTTGGACAAATCATTCTTTATTCACTTAGATTGTGGTGAAACTGAAAACAGAATTTAAAAATCTGCAAAATTGCAAAAATGTAATAAGCTTTTTCAATGATTCCATACGGTTTGAAAAACATTTCAACTGATTAACTTACAAAAGTCACCATTAAAGTCTATAGCAATCTTCGCAGATACATTATCTGGAAAGTGTTTCTAACAGTATTAACATATTTGGAAACCCATGATGCATCACTAGGCAGTGCCCTTTCTTACAATAGCATGCTGTATGAGTGAGAACCCAACCAGAACAACAGCAGAGCAGCACTCACCCGCAGGTCGCTCACTTTCTTCACATTCCTCTGGAGAGAACCAGCACTGCAAATAGTCCCATGACAGCTGAGCCAAATCCTGCACTCCATGGGCTCCAGTGAACCACTCACCATCTTCCTGCCCCCCTCCTTCCTGCCCAGTCCTGATCTGCCCTACATCCTGGGCTGTTAAGGTGTGCACACACAGCACTAGCCCCAGGTAGAGGAGGCTAGCCCTGGCCATCTCTGTTAGAGTGAGATCTCAGTGTCTGATTTACCTCCTCCTCTGCAGGTTCTTAGGATGGAATTCCTGGAGGTTCCATCACTCTCTCACTCTGATACTTTATACCAAGTCCCCTCCCTGTGGGCAGTCCGCCATCTGGGTTTTTACTGGTCGTTATCTTCAATGGCTGCCTCCCGCACACACCCTTTTATCTCATACTATGGAGATATGGTCACAATTTCCATTTCAATGGCTCTGCTGAGCTGCCAGTCTGGTGACACTCCCCCTTACAGTCACTTTCCCTGTTAGAGCTCTGAGCTCTCCCTGGCTGGGCGGATTATATGACTCACTATTACTGTTTAACCCATGGCTTACAATGTACTACTGCTGGCTGACAATGAGACAGGCTCAGAGAGAGAAAGAGCAAAGCATAGAAAGAGAGAGAGGGAGAAAGAGAGAAAAACAGAAGGAAAAAAAAGGACTGCGCTCATTCTCTTTTTCTCAAGACCCCATCCCAAGGTTTCACATACATATTCCAAAATTAAATAGCAAAAAATAAGTAGCTCCCGTACTCCAACAGAGTACCACCGTCAAGTCAGCTTTCTAGCTGCTAACACACACACACACACACATTAGATCAGTGGTAGTCAACCTTTTTCTACCTACTGCCCATTAATGCATCTTTCTTGATGGAAAAGTTTCCTTACCGCCCACCAGTTTTCGCACAAGTGCAGAATATTTTTTAGAAAGGAGGGTGTTTAAAAAAAAAAAAAAAATGTCCGCACATTTATCTTTTTATTTCTACTTTATGCATGTTTATAATGTTTGTAACTTTATAAAGTTTATATTTATTATTAAGGTTGAACATACACGCTTGTGCTGCCACAACAGCAGGAACAAGCGAAGAATAGTGTACAATGGAAACATTTTTGTGGCATGCAGTATCAGCACAATTTTTGTTAGTAAAGTCACGCTAGGTAGATATATTAGGACGCTGGCTTAGTAAATACGACAGGTACATTTGCATTGGTAGTGAGTAACAAGTGAGAAACAGTGTGGTAAAACTGTGTGATAAAACAACTGAGCGTATCTTTGCACACCTGACATATACTGTATATGCTATATGTGCAAGTTGTCGCATGATGTGTGACAGACATATGGGGTAAATGCTCAAATAGGCACAGAATCTTTAGGTTGGAACTGGTTACGCGTAGATATTGTGCAAATGAAAGCCAGCGGGCGCTGTAACCACTGGGACATTTTCTAGGGCATTTTCCGTTCTAGCATTTAGGCATGAGGGTGCAGGTAGTTAGTTAGTACATACGAGGCTCACTCTGGCAGTTCTCAATATTATGAAAGACCAGTGTATGTGCCCAGGAGGTACTAGGTCACTCTCTTGCAGACTTGGGCTCATATGCGGGTACTGGTTATCGGCTGAAGTAGTTAGCGGTCGGCAATTATTAATCCGGCTGTCCCTTGTGTAGAGGATCTTCACCCAATTCCCTGTCGGGCCCTGCTCGGGACTTGTTACGGGATCTATAACTTTATGAAGTTTAATGAGAAAACAAAGTAAATTGAAATTACCTTTACTAGTGATTAATGCGATCCTTGAGGTTGATGCTGCGAGACTAAATATTTTATATCTGGTTCGATTTTCGTAAGGAACAAACGAAGGTCTCCTCTTTTGGTGACATTCAGACGATTTCTCTGTTTGCTCATAATATGATTTCTCATCTGTGCATCAGCTCCCCTCCTCAATTCCCCTCCCCACCTTTCAACCCCCCCTTTTTTCTATTTTTTAACGTTCCTTATAGCAATGCCCAGCAGGAAGGCTGAGCTAGGTAGCCCACTTACTATTATTAGACAACAATTCTCTCCTTTTTACAAGTACTCTGCTCCTTCTTTCTCCTATTCTACAAATACTCTGTCTGTGAACAGAGTACTTGTAGAATAAAAGAAAGAAGGAGCATACACACACACACAGAAACACATACACACATATACTTACAGACACACACACATACAGGCACACATACTCGTTTTCCTGGCACTATAGTCCCAGGGTCCCACTCCCGCCAGGCTGGATACAGAGGAAGGGGTTAAACACTCACCTTTCTCCAGCGCCAGGCTCCCTTGGTGCTGGGGACTCTCCTCCCACTTCCTCCGTCATCGGCGGAATGCGCATGCGCGGCAAGAGCCGCGCGCGCATTTAGCCAGTCCATAGGAAAGCATTCTCAAAAAAGGATTCCTGGAAGGGAAGCGCTCTCAAGCCCCAGGTATCCTCTGATGCCTCCCAAACCTCCCCTCCAAATAGTACTCTATTTAGAGTTTAGGGGACAGAGCAATACCAGTTTAAAGACTGACCGGACCTCGGCACAGTCCCCATCCAAGGAACACTTCCAGGGCATCTCCCGGTCAGGCCCACAAGGTGGAAAATGAGTCCCAGCGATCCTGAAGTCCGAAGCACAGCAAGCATCCAGGGCCCCCCATTAGGGGTTCTTGGGACCATGCCCATGGTTTGTGGGTAGGAGGCTGGCATTCAAGCCTCTCCAAAAGACCGTGGCCCAGGAACGTCCATCTCATCGTGCATTCGAGATTAGACCATCCTCAGCGCTGACTTAAATGGACACGCGTTTACTCACTGCAGAGATGTTGATTTACATGTACAATAATTACAAACTAGTGGGATTTTTTTATAAAATGTAATAGCAGAACCCATTCTATTAGTTAGGCATTCAGATATGCAAAAATATCCTCATTGCTGTGCTGTATCCCACCCCTAGACACGACCCAATTCATGAGGTCATCTAGAGTGCTTTGGAAACCTAAAGTTCAGCAAGCACATAACATATACCCCAACTCCATCTGTTCAGTATGCAAGGACACAAATTACATATTGTCCCACTTCCTGTTTTTATCCTCCAATGTTCACCAATTATTGAGACCTTTTAAACTTGTTACTTTTTAAAGTGGCACTGTCAATTTGCAGAGTTTTGTTGTTAAATCAACACTTTTAGTGTCCCTCTATTTCTCTCGCTTTTTAGTTATACATAAGAAAAAAGTAGGGATTACTTTGTTTTATATGGTGCGTGATCTTTGGCAACGGGGGCAGCTTAATTAAAGTTCCATTTTAGTTGTCAATCAGATTTACCCATAAGCCACCTGTCAAAAGAATCTCACAGAACGGCAAACAACAGAACATCATGAACAGAGGTGGACAAAAAGGAGGCGTCTATGAGAAAAGATAATACAAATAAAGGCAGAGCAGAAAGAAGAATGGGGGGGGAGGGGAAAGCTGAAATATATATATATATATATATATATATATATTTTTTTTTTTTTAAAACAAGTGTCGCTTTAATATGACATCACGGTTCAATATATTTTACAGTCTAGTGTAAACGATTGTTTATATCTTCAATTTATGGATCTTTGTAGCCACTTCCTTGCGGTTTATAACATCACTCTGTCACCAATCAGAGATTTGTTTACAAAGGGTGATGCACAACCACATGTTTTAGCAGTTGTTAATGTTTTAGTCAGGCATCCTTTGCGTACTAGAGAGATAAACGGTGTTGAGTAACAGCTATCAGGTGAGAACTGAACTTCCTCAATAAAAGGTTAATTATAACATTGTGTATTGTCATACCTGTAGATCTGTCTGACATTTGCCTCTGTAGGAGGGGCTGTGTGTCATTGTTCTAGGAGTGTGTGCTACACTGACTTCCCCAGCAACTAAACTTTCAGTATTACGGTTAGAACTTTGATCTTATTCCAATTATTCTAGTTTCAAAAAAGGTTTTGATTTTTGCTGTTTCATGTGTTGGGAGGCACACTGATCAGTTACAACATAAAATTAGGCAGCAAGTGAACAGTCAGTTCAGGAAAAATGGTCAAAAGATGAGAGACAATGGTTGAATAGTGATGGTTAGATGATTGGTCAGAGGATCTCCGAAACGGAAAGACTTATGTGGTGTTCCCAGTATGCAGTGGTATTATGCACCTACCAAATGTGGTGCAAAAAAGGACAACCTGCGAATTGGTGTCAGGGTCATGGGCACCCAAGACTCGATGCATGTGGGGAGCGAAGGTTAGTCCGTCTGGTCTGATCACACAGAAGAGCTACCGTAGCTCAAATTGCTGAAAAATTTAATGCTGGTCATGATAGAAAGGTGTCAGTACACACAGTGCATCACAGTTTGCTGTATATGGGGCTGCGTAGCTGGAAACCAGTCACAGTGCCCATGAAGACCCCCTGTCCAGCACCAAATGTGCATCCAATGGGGACTTAAGCTTATATGGCCTATCACAATAATAATACACAATATTACGGTAATTGATAAACGTATCTGTTCTCGGGGTTAATCATTACACTCCAAATGTGAGAATTCTGATGATACTAAGATATGTAACAGGGTTGATGTTCCAGGAGGGCAAATGATTTAGGTAAACTAGAAAAATGGTCAGAGTTGTGGCAACTGACATTTAATGTGGATAAGTACAAGATAATGCTTCTTGGACGTAAAAACCCAAGGGCAGAGTACAGAATATTTGATAGAGTCCTAACCTCAACATCTGAGGAAAGGGATTTAGGGGTGATTATTTCTGATGACTTAAAGGTAGGCAGACAATGTAATAGAGCAGCAGGAAATGCTAGCAGAATGCTTGGTTGTATAGGGAGAGGTATTAGCAGTAGAAATAGGGAAGTGCTCATGCCATTGTACAGAACATTGGTGAGACCTCACTTGGAGTATTGTACGCAGTACTGGAGACCGTGTCTCCAGAAGGATATTGATACTTTAGAGCATGGGTCACCAACCTGGTCCCTACCGCCCACTAGTGGGCGTTTCAGGATTCCAGGTTGGCGGTAAGGATTTCCTCATTTTGAGAGATTGGGCGGGTGGGTGCAAGCCGGTGGTACCTCTGTGACCGGGTACCCGCCATCACCATTTGCGGCCCTGGCCTGCGCAGCAATCCGCCGGGGCCGTCGTCCAAGGAGTTCATCGGGTGACTCATGCTGTCAGGGCCACCTGATGGTTATGGATTGTAAGGGGACCCGGTTAGCGCTGGGTGCTTTAACAGCGCGACCTGGCCCCCTGTGATTACATCACAGAGCTGGGAGGAAGTGTCTGCACGTCACTCCTCCCAGCTAACACACAGACCGCGTGGGAGGAAGCAGAGGGAGTCAGAGTAGGAACTCTGACTCCCATCCACCTGAGCCACCACTGGACCCCAGGGAAAGTCACCCTTCTGCACTAAAAAGGTAGGAAACAG